TCTGGGTGTGGAAAACAGGTTGCCAGGCTTGAATTTGTTTTGAAAAAGCTTTTACAGTTAATTAGCCTATGTCCTAGAAATGAGTTTGGCAGTGAAGTCAAACTTGTCCTGTGTGCTTTTCCAAGTTGTCCCCCCCCCCAACTTCCATCCAACTGCAGCATAAGTTTCTGATTGACGGATGGTTCTGACTGGATACAATCTGAACAGTTGAGACTGGGTCTCATGACTTCCTGGAGCTATATAACTTCATGCTACTCAAGAGCTGGGTTTTATGTTCAGAGTCACGAAGAGGAACAAAAAGGCTCTTTCTGACAGCTCCAGGGTGACACAATTTGAGGGTATGTTTTTAATCAGATTCTGTCTTGAGGAAGCAGAAGAAACAAATCTGTAGACTGCACTTTTTCTTCCTCATTCTGCCAAGCCTATGCACTCAGGATTTCAGTAGTGGCTGCCCGATTAAAAAATAGCTCAAAACAGTTAAGAGCAGCAGAAAAGTATAGCCCAAATGGGGTGATTCAGTGTCTCAGCAGCCTCCCTGCTTGGTTGTTATGTTTATTAAGCAGAAAAACACCTGTGAGGAGTACAGTAACAGTACATCTGGAGCTCATTGACTTGTGCATCTACATAAATCTGCTTTTTGTTGTAGTTGCTTTTGTATTAGCCAGTTATTTTTTTCCCAATTGTCTTTGCTTTGCCTTCCTGCATCACTTTGTTCCTTCTCTGCTCTTTGAAAAATGGAGCTGTATAAGATGCAAGGCTTAAACGCCAGTGTTTATGAGTGAGGTGAAAGGACAAGACAGGGGGTGGCTTTTTTCTTTCCCAGCACCAGGGATCACACCTAAGGTTTTATACATAAGATACAAGTCTGCCACCACTGAGTTACATCTCCAGATGGCTATCCTCAGCAGTAGCTTGTTAGCTTGAACTAGTGTGCTCTTATCTTTATAGGGCTTGATTCTTATAGGCTATCAATGGTGCAGTGTTATCTCACACTTGCAGATTCAATGTTAGGGCAAATTGCAGCCCATGTTGTAGGTAGACACACTTTGCAGAATCCCAGGAATGCATGTAAGGGTCACATGACCTTGTAATCACTTGTCTGGTTACGTCATTGTTTAACAGAATTACCAGGCAGTGTACCACATAGGTCTCCTGGAGGAATTTAATGTAGGATTAAATTTTGAAAGTATCATGATTATTTTAAGCACTGTCTGATGTCTATCATCTTTAAGTATACTTGGGAGCCTTGATTTTTATTTTTGAAGTCTTGGTCATTTATGGAAGTAGATGTAAATTTAAATATTTTGTCAGTGAGTAAGAGGATAAACCATTAAATCATGTCTGAGTTTGAAATTGCTGTCTTGACAACTATAAGACGGAATCTAGAAGGACACAGTCTGTGATTGACAGCTGTTCTCATTGTTCTATACACACAGTGCAGGATTGATTCATTGTAGCTTAGTTGGGGTGATATTTTCATGGCTTGAAAGCAGAATTTCCTTCTTAGTGCCTTCACACAGATTCTTTCCCATTCACAGATGTAGGTATGCACACATGTAACACCTTCTCTTCTCTGTTGTTCTTCTGAACATGGGTGGTCCCATCTTCACTCTGTGGAGGAAGTTGCAGTAAAGTCTTTTGTGAGGTTATAATCTTGTCTTTCGGGTGTTCTCAGGGACCTTTGGGACAGGAGAGCTCCAAACAGAATCACATCTGTAAAAACTAGAGAACAAAGGCATGTTGTCAGTCCTTAGTCACTACAGATTTGATAACAGCCACGAACTTCCCCATGGCTTCAATGCCACAGCTTTCTTTCAGCTGTGTGTTTTGTTATTTTTTGATTTTTCAGTGCATTTTAGTTAAAATAGGATTGTACCACTTTCTTCCTTCTCTTTCTCTCCTCCCCTGCTGCCAGGACCCATTCCCAACTCTCAAACTGATAGACTCTTTTTCTTGGATTATTATTGTTGTATGCACACCTGTACTCACAAACATGTACAAACACCCACCCCCCAGCCCACCCCCACACATAAAAATACAATATCTGAGCCCCTTTTTATTGTTTGTATGTGTATGGTTTCAGGGCTGACCACTTTGTATTGCACAACCAATAACAGGCTCATCTCTGGGAGA